CAGGGTGTTCAGTTTGTTATGACTAAATGTCTTTCTTATTAGGAATCCAGAATATACAACCTTAAAAAGGCACCTTTAGGACTGATGTAAGTGCAATTTTCTTTAGATGTTGGATTATCTTAAAGCAATTAATTTTAATACTGCCTAAGTCATGAGGGGGAAAAAAAATCAAGAAACTCTGTTCCCATAATTTTAGTAGTACTAATTTGGTAACAGTATTTAATAGCCCACACCCTTCAAAATATAAAGACAAAAATCTTTTGAGAATGTTTATTTTCCTTATGATATATGACAACCAGAAGAGCTCTATTAAACTGAGACTTTATAACAGAATATAGGGCTTATTCTGTTAATATGCTCAATTACACAGATTCATCTTCGAATTCTAAACCAACCCTGTGTTCTTGAATTAAGTTCTATTTGGACTTGATACGTTGTATTTATTATGTTTATATGCTAAAATTTGTATGTACATGGCATATCAAGGATCTTTAAATTTATGATTTTAAGGATTTCTTTGTAGTCACGGTCTGGTTTTATTGTCAGGGTTACACTGGTTTAGTAAAACAAGGTGGAAGTTAATATGTACATTTCTTAAGAGCTTTTGTAAAACTGGCATTATTTCTAAGTATTTAATAGAATTTACTTAAGAAACCTGGGGCTGGAGAGATGGCTCAGTGGTTAAGAGCACTGACTGCCCTTGCAGAGGACACGGGTTCAATTACCAGCACCCACATGGCAGCTACGAACCGTCCTTAACTCCAGTTCCAGGGGAATCTGAAGCCCTCTTCTGACCTCCGCGGCATTGCATGGCACGGGTGCACTCACATACATGCAGGCAATGCACCCATGCACATGGAATAAAAATGATAAAAAATATTTATAAAAAAAAGAAACCATCAGTCTGGCATTTTCTTTGTGGGAAGGCTTTCTGTAATGAATTCAGTTTCCTTTGTCAGGGTAAAGCCATGGCAGGTGGCTTGTAAACATCTGTGCTCATAAATTTATTGCTGCCCAGCTCAATTCACTCTTCTTCAGTTTGGGCTCTTGAACAAGAATTCCTTGAAGCATCTCTCCTTCCTCTGTAGCGAGCACAATGAAGGTTCTTCCTGCCCAGAGCACTGGAGGACAAGGCAGGAATGGAGTGGTACAACAGGCCAGGTGCGGCTGATTTCCCCAGCCATGCATCTAGCACGTGGTCTCTTGGTGACACTGCAACCTACCAATAGTTTTCCCATGCCACAGAAACTGGTGCCCTGAAGGTTTCCTGCTCTCCCCACCCTCACACACCTTCCAAAGGCCTGCTGTGCATATTTCCCCTGCAGGCTGTACACCTCGACTGCGCAGAATAGTTGGGCCTCGATGAACCTGCCCAACAGGCTGAACTAGTTTCTCAGGTGCGGCCTGAAGCCCAGGCTTGAGAAGGGGCTCCAACTCTGTCCTTCTTAGGTACTCTTCCCCAAGCCACAGTGTACCATGTGGAATTCCTTTTTATCTTAGTTACTCCTTTATTAGTGTTGAGTAATAACATTCTCCCATACAGCTCACTGCATGGTTTCTATCTCCTGACTGGACAAAATCTGACACAATTTCTCAAGAACCCTACCCTCTGAGATTCATGCTGTTGTGTAACCTCCTTCCCTCAAGTGTGGACCTGCCGTAGGGCCTTGCTTTTAAGGCTGAAAATATCCTGCCTGTTCTAAATGGCTTTTCTTGCTTGCTATCTGGATGAGCCAATTTCATATTGTGAGATGTCCTACAGAGGCTCATGCGAAAAGGAACTGAAGGACAGCAGCCTCTAGCTAACAGCCAGCAGAACCCCAAAGCCTTCATTCCAACAGTTCATAAGGAAGGGGCTCCTGCCAGCCATCACAGGAGTGAACTTGAACAGTTGAGCTGTGAGAGGACTATGGTACCAGCCAACACCTGGACTGCAGCTTCAGAAGAGTGACCCAAAGCACAAGACCTGTTCTGGTCACATGCAGCTTCCTCACCTATACAACCTACGAGACAGTAAGCGCTACTGTTACGGTACTGTCTGGGGGGCAATTCAGATGACAGCAGAAAATGAATAGAGGGGCATGCCCATTTTCTTTTTCATCTTATCCATTTTGGCAAACTGAATTTTTAAGGAATTTGTCTAAGCTGAGACTTCATAGTCTAAATTATTGTCCCTTTCAAAGGTAGACAAAGAATACCAATTTATTTGCTCAATAGTTCAGAAATTTAAAAAAAAACCCACACATGTATGCAAATGTTCATAGCAACTTTATTTATAAAAAGTCTGAAACAACTCAAATGCTTTTTAATGAGCGATGGTTAAACAAACCATGGTACATCCATACCATGGTTTACTACTCAGCAATATAAAGGAACAAACTATTAACACATGCAACAATTTGGATAGAGTTCAAGGTAATTGTGCTGAATTCTGGAAAAAAAGCCAATCTCAAAAGGTTACATACGGTATAATTTCATTCATGTAACATTCTCATTATGACAAAATTACAGAGATGAACAGATTGGTGGCTGCCAGGGTTTGGGAAGTAAAGGTATGTGAAAATAAAGTGCTAGAGGGAAGGACTGCTGAGGGGAGGAATCAGTTATCTCAGCAGTGGCCTTTCCACAAACTTAAGTGTGAGGAAACTGCATAGAAACACCTACACACACCACTGCACGTGTGCACACACAAGTGAAGACTATGAAGCTGTGAGGTGTAAATAAGGTCTGTGGATTGCATCAGATGTCAATTTCCTAGTTTTGATACTGTACTAGTTATGTAAGATGCTACCATGGGACCAAGTATGTGAAGGGTACAGAGTCATGCCTGGACTTGATGAAACTTTCTATGAATCTGTAATTATTTCAAAATACAAAGGTTTTGTGTTGTTGACCGCCATTCTCTTGGGCTTAGCTTTCTACTTGAAACTGCACCTCTCATTACTCTCCATCAATGATTTCCAGACGTTGGGTTAAGACCTGGAGATCTAGTCTTGAAGCTGCTACCCTGTGGCTACCCTGCTGAAGATACAATTATTTCAACAGGTAATAACTATAACAAAAGCTCTCTGAAATTTCATTTCTTTCATGAATCTTCCTTTTCTTGATGGGTGTAGGGGTGCACACCTGTGATCTCAGTATTCAGGAGAATTCCGAGTTTGAGGCCAGGCTGGGTTACATTAAGTTTGAGGTCAGCCCAGGGTATGTGAGATCTAAAAAACCCTTAATTTTTTCTTTCTTCTGCCTGGATCATCTAACCATGACTGTCCTTCTCCTTCTTCCTGGACTCCACAGTCATTCTAGGGCTTATGTAAGATTGCATGTGATGATTATGTCTGTCCTCAGTAAAATAGGGCTAGTGATTTTAAACAAATTTCGATGCTCTGTAATATATAGATGTCTAATGAAATTTTGTTTTGCAAAACAAATCTGGTCAGTTGCTCCCTTCTGCTCTTTAAATGATCTTTCCCCTCAACTCTGCTCAGTCATGCTGTCTGTCCACACTTCTTACCTACATGTTGACCTGGCCTCCCTGCTGGTCTGTCTCCAGCTCATCTTTCACATTACTGACAGAGTGATCTTTCTAAAACCCTAAATCGCCAGGCGTGGTGGCACACACCTTGAATCCCAGCACTCAGGATACAGAGGCAGGTGGATCTCTGTGAGTTCAAGGCCAGCCTGGTCTACCAAGAAGTTCCAGGCCAGCTGGGGCTACAGGGAAACCCTGTCTCAAAAAAAGATAAAACAAGCTGGGTGTGGTGGTTCACACCTTTAATCACAGCACCCTTGAGGCAGAGGCAGGCAGATCTCTGAGTTCAAGGCCACCCTGGTCTACACAGCGAGTTCCAGGACAGCTGAAGCTACAGGGAGACCCTGTCTTAAAAAGACAAAAGATAAAAAACAAAAAAATCCCAAATCATTCAGTTTACCTAACTTCTGAGATTCTCTTGTAATCTCTTTAGTGTGGTATACACTGACCTTTAAAAAATCCCCATCTATCTCTTCTAGCTGCGTGAACCTGGGCAAATTCTCTAACATCTCTGTCTCCCTTTTCTGCAAATGGTGACAATATAATGATCCTAACATTATACCTATTAGCACCTAGCGCTCTGTCTGGAATAAAGTAAGTGCTCTAAGAGTTAACCACTTAAATTATTGCTCATGGAAGCCCCAATCCATAATCACTTAGGTGGAAACAGGATCCAACTATCATCACCATTAACTTTTTGGGAGGCAGAAAGATAGAATTCTGACTCTACTCCATTCTGATTATGAGGTCTTGGCAAATCATGCAACATTTCAAATATAAGATTCAAATATAAAACAGGGGTCCAGATCAAGTGAGTTTGAAGGAAACCTGTTACGGGTAAAATATTCTGCGTACAAGACTAGCCAGAGGTTATTTCACAGAAAAACACCGCTTCTTAACACAACTACAACTATCTCCAACATTTCCCTTTTGAGTTCTTATGTAGCTCTCTGAGCTATTCAACTTTGCCTTCCCCGTTTTCTACACCATGAGGGGCTCAGTTCACTGACTTTCAGTCTTAAAGACCAGCACAGACAGGGACTCAAGACACATCAGCTGAGGGCATGAATAAAATTACACCATGGCCCGTGAAAATGGTGTCAAGATTCAGGCCATTCTGCTTATTTCTGAAGCTTACAGAATGACTTTCACACTTTTACAACACATCGCTTTGTATTAGTTATTTATGTACCTTCTTACTCTCACCAGCAGACTGGAAACTCAGTATTATTTATTCTACACCATCTCCAACTTAGAAAGTGCTGTGACTTGAATGAAGTGTCAAAACAGAATTAAGGAATACTTCAAGCTCCTTGGTCTATTCATTTACTTCCCAATGATATAAGCAAGAAGCAGATGATCATTCAAGTTCCCACTTAAGGAGTGTCTTTTAGTTTTATTAGAAATATATCAAGAAAATCAATACAACTAAAATATACCTTAAACTTAATATTGACACTAAGCAAACAACTTTTAAGGTGGACAAATAATTTTATTTTGTGCATGCAAATACATGTCAAGTACTGCAAACTTTTTCCATCAATTTTCTCTCAAACACTGAAAATCATGATGCTCTATTTTGTGAACAGCCAAAGCTAATATCTCTTCACTTCAGTGCTACAGCAAAAACACACAGAATTCACTCTTTGCTATTCACTATCATCACAACCCTCATTGTTCCATCTCTGCCCTCCCCCCATACAGGCCTTTGAGTCCTAGCCTTCCCCCATTTAATCCTATTCCTATAGCACAAAGGGAAATATTACAATTTGGAAATTCAAATTGAAATAAATGGAATAGAATTTATTCCCACATATATTCCCCATTTCATTGTACAGAATTATTTTAAATTATAGTTTTAAATAGAAGCTGAGTATATGCCTTAAAAATGAGCATTAAATCCATCTTAGAGATGGTGCCTGCTTTTTACATGATGGGTGTACACCATCTTTAATTTCATTTACATTTCAATCGAACAATAGATTTGCAAAGAAAATGTCTAATACAGACGTAAAAATATTCACACTAAGCTTCACAATCGGTTGTACAATTGACAAACAGGCCTCTTTTCCCAAACTTTCCAGCTAAGCAATTTATAAAGTGTTATCAATGCAACAAGAAAAACATTTTTCTTTCACTTCCAGGGAAAAGAATATGCAATAAACAGTATAAATGCAGACAGCAGTTGCTGCAAGCTAACCACGATACTCCCAAGTGGCTGTACAGTGGATATGTGCAGTACAAATAAAAGCCACATGTGTTGTATCACAACTACAGTATAATTGTTTGCCCAGCTAAGAGAATGCATGCACTTCCATGCCTTGGGTTATAAAGTGAGGCCTAATTCTCAACAGGTTGATGGAATATGTGCAAATGACCTTGGCTTTTGGCAGTACTAAGTGCAGCCAGTGTCTGTTTTCCACTGGTTTGGGGGATATTTTTAATTTTTTATGTTAAAAAGAAAAATAAACTGCCAGTTTTGGATTTGGGGGAATAACTGCCCTTAGAGAGTAAAAATAAGTCTCCACTCAAATGTGGGGTGTTCTGATCTGTGGTTTTTGGCTCCTTGTATTCCCTTGCCAGCAAAGGCATACAAAGGAACAGCTAGTATAAAGGAGTTACTAGCAAACAGTTTCTAGAAAACGGGATACTCCTTGAGCATGTTCATTTATGTTCTGCTTGCAGAAGGGGTCCTTCTGTAGAAGGAGTTACAGTAAGTGATCCCATCAATACTCTTTAGTCACTAAAACACAAGAAAGTTCTTCTAGAAAACTAATACATAGTTGCAATGCAACTTTTCCCTTTAGTGATTAGCTACCAATACTAGTGACAGTCTGCTCAGAAAATGACTCAAAGAAGCAAGGGAAGAAATACTCAGATTCAGAGGCAAAATCATATACTGAATCTGATTGTTACAAGTTCCAACCCTGGTTAACAAGACAACATGGACTTTAACACATCTAAAATGCTAAAATAAGGTATGGTTTTAAACTCAAATTTTTAAAATATTTAAGTGATCCCATTCAAAATTCCTACAAATCACTGTGCATTCTTTAATATTCTCAAGGCAGTATTACAAAATCAGATGTGCTTTGTAACTCAGCATCAACTTGAAATCTAGGTCAAAGTGACTAGGATCCACATAAATGGAAAATTTCAGTTTTAGTATGGGAGGTTTAATTCTCTTTTAGAGTAAATAGGGAGGTAATCAGTGCCACAGGTGTAATGAGCTACCTTTACTGAAAAATTACAATGTACAACTTTCCTCACATTCAGTGATTCATTGCATGGCACTGAAATAAGTCATGGTAGCAAAGATAGAATCTGATCTGTTTAGGTACTAACAAGATGGAACATACATATGATTGGTGTAATTCACAAAATGAAATGAGCCTAAAAGACGAACAGTGACACTATATTCACAGAATTGGAATGAGGCAAATGGACTCAGGAATTGGACTCAGAAACTGAAAATTATAACAAAGAAAGGAAAAACATACCATTTTCTTGTTTTTCAGATTTCAGACTGCTTTTTCCTAATTAGCCCCATAGGTTAACATGCAGTTTAGTTATCAACATTACAAATTTCCTCTTCTATTGCTCTGTAGCCTCTAATTCCAAAGGCGTACATCATAATGTTTTGGTAAAGGGATAGTGACAATTGCCCCAATTTAAAAAGCCACATTCTAGGCAGGTCTGTTTGTACTATTTCCTCTAGGACATCAGTAGGTACCATTCTGAAGAAGGTCAGATGAACTGTTCTTTCTTCTAATGTGGCAGAGACCTAATGGCTTTATTTCACATTAAACCCACCAAAACAGACAAGACAGTAGGTGGTCATCACATAAAGATGCAGCACAGAATAACCTCAACACAAACAATTCGTATGTTGTTAGTGAAAAAGAGCAAGACTTTAAGAATCTTGAGTTACTGTTTTATGGGATCACCTGCTGCAAGACAAGCATTATTTTAATATAAATGTTTTGAGACATACCAATAAGGTTGGCAGGTATATACATACATTGATGCAAATGTAATTTACTGGACAAGTAGGCAAACACCTAAGCATCCCAACCCCCTCCAGCAGAGCACAACCAAGTTTCAAAATTTCAATTTTAAAATTAAAAAGATAAGGTTAAATACACAAGATCAATTTATGTAGTATATATTCACCCTCAGAACATGCTGAAGATGTTTTGTGTAGTTCTGTTGCACAGAGGGTTCTTTCCCTGAGGGCACATAAGGAGCTCTCAAACTGTTAATAGGTCTCTATTTTGTAACAAAATAGCAATTTTAAAATCTTAAAAAAAAATACATTACCTTCAACATGGAAGATCTCACTATTAAATATCCATGAAATAGACAGACTGGTTTACATATCCTTTTTGGAATTACAAACAGCAGAAAAAAAAAAGTACATTGGAAGCATTTCAAATGTAGTAAGCTCATATTTATAGAAAGGTTCTGATATAAATTATATAACAATCAGGTTCCTGTAATATCCTAGGCTAATTTATAATGTCAGAAATAAGTTAATGTAACATGGTTTAAAACTCTTGTTCCTATTCATTTCAGGTTACAGAGAGAAATAAATAAAATGTCTTTGTAGGGATGGGGAGCACTGGCCATGGCAAAAAGGTACAGTACTAACCAAAGGAAACGCAGTCAAGGCTACTGTGCTGTTATGCTACAAACGAACATCTTCATACACTTGAGTATTAAATAAATGTGTAAGATCTTCCATACTGACACCAGAATATCAAAACTACCCCCTTTGTTTCTCAGGTATATTTACAACTTATCAGTCACCTTATGAGCATGTTCATTAAGACAGGTATCAAACACCAGTACTTACTCATTCTGATCAAGAAATTTCAGGGAAATGTCAACCCTCCCACCCCTGGAAATGTGCACAAAACTTTTATCAAAATCTTATCTGATACAATGTTGTGGTTTTGTAAAATAACTAAATAGCTCAGACGACCAATAACATGATCCTGTTTAAGCATCTTGCTAGCAGGAAAAGCCCTTACATACAGTACACCTGGTGAAAGATCAGCTTGGCTTAAAATATTCCAGTACAATTTTCAGAGTAAACAACTTCACAGAAGTTAATTAAAAAAATAATAAAAGTCAAACTAATCTTAAAGAAATGGAGGAAAAACAAAAAGATAAAACTATAGGTAAGACCACCCACCAGGAAGGAATGCCCAGCTTTTGTCTTTAAACATTGACTGAAATTTAAGTTTCAGTAAAATACCACCCACAAACCTGGGGCACAGCTGAACACACTGCATATTCTCTGATGCCAAGTGAAAACAATTTCAGTCACAGTAATGTGAAAACAAATTTAGTCACAGCAGGGCAGAAATTATTCATGTTTTAAGTATGGGTAAGTGTTAGCCAATGTTCTACTACTACATGGTTCAAAGTCTTATCAACCTAACAGAAAACACAGAAAATTAAACCCAACACGAAAAAACAAAAAACAATATCTAACTAAAATAATGCAATGAACATCCAAATTAATTTCTTTAAATTAAAGACCCAGCAATCCCATCTTGGTAATCAGTGCAAAGGCTACATACAGGGTTTTCTCAAGAAAGCTGAAAGCACCTGATTCTTTTGCCAAGTCATCAGATTCAATAATGTACAGGCTTACATCTGCATTTTAAAAAACTGCCATTACATTAGTGCATAATTTATCAAAATTGTAAAAACGATTCTGCATAACTTAGGAGAATTTAATATCTAGTACATCAGCTGAAAGACTTAGGCACTTGGTTATATTTTAATTAATTACTTCAACAAGTAGCCTGTGTATAAATATTAACGCAGAAACTATTCTTGAAAAATGGAAAATTAAAAAAATTAAATGCTACAGATAAAAGCACTGCACCACACTCCTACATATAATGCAGTAAAGAAAGCTAGTATATAACCCTGTAAAATTCTATGGTAAGAACATCTAACTCCACTCTTCAAAATAAAAAGTAAAATTAAAAAAAAGAAGAAAGAAATCCATGCAAAGTCCAATGAAAAAGATAAATAAAGCAGCTGGAATGAGATGGAAATTTCTCTCAGTGAAACATAAAATAGAAATAAATAAGTTAATTAAGTCTACTTTCACTAGATGTATCATTGTAGGATCCTGCTAGTTTAATAACTGAGTTGTTAATTTACTGTAGAAGCCATTTAAAATAGGAAATGGCTCAGTTACTGCACCGGGTTGCTACAAACTCATAAAAAGCTGCTTGAAGCTTAAGTTAAATGTTGTCCAAATTCCAATCACTTCTGGAAAGTGAACGTTACCCTAGTAAAGTAAATTTTCCTTTTTTTTTTCATAATGCTAATGCAAGAGGGCTTGAAGTATCAAAGAGTCCACAGGAAATGGATGCCCCCAGTAATATCTTTTTTTTTAAAAAAAATATACATTATATAATATATATTATATATATAAAAAGCTAGTGTAAATGCTTCCATGGTGTGGTCACAAATTTGAAAGATGAACCTCCTTTCAGCTGTTAACCATCTTCCCATTTGCAATTGGTTTTAAAAAGTCGTTTTTATCTTCAGACATAACATGAGTTTTCAGAATGAGGCTGCCAACACTGACAGACGTGGTGATGGGGAGGCAACTGGAACTGCTAATGGACACTGGGAGTGGCTGGCTAAAGCAAGACGTTACCGGCAGAATTGTTTTTTGCTCCTCCCTGAGAAGAAAAATAAATGACAGTGAAAGCAAATTAGTTTTAATTGAAAACATGTAAGTTACCATCCATGCTTACTTAAAGAGTATCAGACCTTAAGACCCTCTGCAGAAAAAGCATTATCTTCTTTAGCAAGAAAAGTACTAGAAGGCACTGAATAGGTCTTATTTTCCAAAATTTATAAGAAAATTAAAACATTGGTTTAAAGACATACAAATGAAGTTTAAGGTTAGGCTCATATCTTTGGCAATAATTATACAAAATAGCCAAGAAGGTCTTAAAATGATTTTTTAAAACAAGAAACACTTGAAGTTTTACTGTTGTTGTTTCTTCATTTCTTTTTTTTTTTTTCAGTCTTTTTGAGACAGGGTCTCCCTGTAGCCCCAGCTATCCTGGAACTCACTATGTAGACCAGGCTAACCTTGATCTCACAGAGATAAACCTGCCTCTGCCTCTGGAGTGCTGGGACATAAGGCCTGTGCCATCACATGTGGCGTATTTCAGTTTTTATTGTTTGTTTTTTAGACAGGGTGTTGCTATGCAGCCCATGACAGCCTACAACTCTGTATGTTGGCGTTGAACTTGTAACAACCCTTCTGCCTCTGCCTGATGAATGCTGGCATTACAGGCATGTACTGCCATGACCAGCTTTTAATCTAGGATTAATTTTCTATTCCATGACCTAGAAGTTTAACCAAATTAAATATAGCTTGATGTTAGAGACAAAAGAACTTTTATCCCAACGAATAGCAAGTTTCAGGTTTAATATTAAAATGGATTATTTTACTAATTCAAATTTCTCTAAAAATACTGACCAAATCATTATTATATAAGGTTTTCCTCTCATAATACAAAGCTAAAAATGAATTTAACACTGCATCTGTTTCTGTAAGTATTTATGCCCTATAGCCAGTGGCTATGAAGTATCTGTCTAACACTCACAGAATCACACGGTCTTCACCTAAACTCTGTCTCCTCTGTTTTATTGGCTCCTTCTGGTGCTGCTGGACTGGATGACCATTTTCTACTGTTCCATTCAGCAACTGATCATTTTGAGAACTGATACCAAGTTGTATGTCCAGAATTTCCTAAGAATATAAAAATGTTAATGCTTCAGTGACAGCATTTTATACATCTTAATTGACAATGGAACAAAGCCTAGGTCTCTGAGTGTGGCACTTACTTCAATTTGTTCACTTTGTCCATCAGGTTCATCAGTATCAAGTGCCGAAAGTTCTAACTCAATATCCCTATCGGGCTTAGTATCTACTGTGTCTTCTGTATAATCACTCTGCAAATAAGAAAAGTACTAATTTTATATCTGCAGAAATGAAGTCCTCTTTTAAAAAATTACAATGGGAATTCTAATTTGGGACTACATTTTTATTTCTACTCTAAGTTTTAAGAAGTAATGAATCATTCTCATCAGAAAAATACACTAAGAAATGATGTATGCCGATATGCAGCAGCAGTGAGCAAATGCACTAAGCATGAAGCTGAACAATTCCATCTCTTTACCTCTCCATTTCTCAGTTCAATTTCCTTGCTTAGAAGATTCAAAGTAAGGTGACGGCCTTCATCCAGGGAATTCCACTTTTGTTGCATGGCCAGAGCATTGGCCTCCCTCTGAAGAAGTAATGAGTTACTCTTGGCCTCCATGAAGAGAGAGGAAAACATAAGCTTAGCTTTCGATTATCTTTGTACTTTTTTAAAAATCAAAGCTAAATACACAGAGCTTACCTGCTGAAGTTCAATACTCAAAAGGTCACCAGTACTGGAATGCTTTCTATGGCCAGACAAATCAGTAACAATGAACCTGTCCCTTTAAAAAGAAGAACGTACACTGTAGCAAAAGTGAAATAAATGAGGCAACTAAAGCATTAATGACTATGTTCTATGAAACTGATCAACCCTGAATGTGTCAGTCATCATTCCAAATGTAAAATTAGTTTCAGGTGCTTGTTACATAGCTCAAATTAGCAGAGCTTATTCCACAGACAACTGGGGTGGGTTTTATATTTTGAAGATAGCTAAAAGTAAAGAATGCTAAAGAAGTAAGAATATTACCGTTCAATATAGTGTGCTGATGATGTGGCCTCATTGCTGTATGAACTCCACCTTGAATCAACAGCATTGACATAAGGGACATAATCTACAACAATTCAGGAAGAAACAATTATTAGAAAAGTGCAAACAAGCCAGATAAGGTAGTGCACATCTAAAATCCCAGCACTTTAAAGGCTGACGTAGGTGTACTGGGACAAGTTTGAAGTTAGCCTAGGGTACAGTTCCAGTGGATCCAACACCCTCTTCTGGCCTTCATGGGCACCACAAAACATGGGTGCACGTATATACATGCAGACAAAACACTCATACATATTAAAGAAATAAATAATAAACAGCTAGTATAATAAGAGGTGTGGTGGCTCACACCTTTAATTCCAGTACTTAGGAAGCAGAGGCAGGTGAATCTCTGTGAGATCAAGGCCAGCCTGGTTTACATAGTGAGTTCTTGGCTAGCTCGGGTTATAGGGAAACCCTGTCTCAAAAAACCAAAATAAATAAAGAAAAAATAAAACAAAAACCAAAATAGCAACAAAAAGAATCATATAAATATAAAATCAGTAAATAAGTATAAATATGAATACATACTTTTCAAAATAGCTGTGTAGTTTTTCCCACTAGCCATAAGGTTCTGCTTAAACCATTTAATTCTCAGTTTAATATGGTTATTAAATGGAAGAAATGTTCTATCTCCCAGGTAAGGAATCAAAAGGACATGGTATAGAATACTTTGGTCTTACTTAAATGGATTACCTGATACACTGATGGGCTTTGTTGCACTTCCTTGGGAAGCAGTGGCCTGGACAGGATCTGTTGTATGGTAACCTGTACGTGAGGATCTGGAAATTGCACCCCATTTTGAGATGATGGGTCCATCACTAAAGGGAATTATTGGGTCTTCTTCTTTTGTCCTTCTCTGAGTTTCAAATAAATGCACTCTTCTTTTAACATCTCCACTGTCCAGATCCTACATAAACCAAAGAATGTCAACAAGAGAGCTACAGGCAATTACTGCAGCTGAAAATACAAATACATGCTATTAAAAGACATGTAATTAGTTTTTCTTGTAAAATTTAAACTAATTTTAGCTTCAATGATAATGTAACACATATACTGAACTATCAAACTATGGTCAAATATTTACACATTAAACATATTTTAGATGTATTTAAATACATCCCTACTAGTTGTAGATGAGTTATATAGTCACACCATAAAGACAAAAGTATTTATCTTAAAACTTGGAGGTATCAACATTATCATCCCTACCTCCAAAACCCACCTCCTCTTCCCCAATCAAGTAAATCATACCATTAGCACAGCATTTGAATTAGCAATGACATCTTTGGGCTCTGAATCAATGGCACTGATACAAGAGCCTATGGTGCCACAAGACCAGGGAGAATAATGGGAAAGATGATCTTCCTCAAATTTTGTGCCACTCACACTCTCAGAGAACTGATTAAAAAAAGAAATGAAAAGAAAGGTTAAGGTTAGTGTGACACTTAAGTTTACAAGTTTGTAACTAATACTGAATAACTTACAGAATTTAAAGGACTTCATAGTGAATAATTGAAATTCTATAACTAATTAACAACTAGGTTGTTAATACTCATACAATAAATAGAAATGGCATACCTTCTTTTACCTTGCCTTACAAGTAATATAATTTTCTATACCTTCGTTTATACTTACAAGTGATCTTTTTCAAAAATATCTTTTAATTTTCACTTGTTTACTTATTTTTTGTGTCTGCATGCATACATGTGTCACAGTGGGAAACTGAAGGTCCAAGGACAGCCTGCAGGAGTTGGTTCTCTCCCTCCACCAAGTGGGTCGAAGGGATCAAACCCAGGTTGTTAGGCTTAGCAAGTGCCTTTCTATACACACTGAATTGTCTTGCCAGCTCAGTCCTGTAAGTGCTCTTATAAAACTCTTGAATGGTATTATCAAAAACAATGAACAGGGCTGGAGCGATAGCTCAGAGGTTAAGAGTACTAGCTGCTCTGCTGCTCTTGCAGAGGACCTGGATTCACTTCCCAGCACCCACATATTAGTGAACAACTGTCCATAACTTCAGTTCCATGTTATATGATGTCTTCTTTTGGCTTCCACAGGCATTGCACACAAGTGTACTTAAATACATGCAGGCAAAACACTCAAACACATAAAATAATTAAACAAAAAAAAAATTTAAAAACTCAATTAACAATAACACGCTACTACAGTATGTGATACTTTAAAAAAATGAGCAAAAAGCCCCCCAGAAAACAGATACACAGATGTAGATGACAATCCGTGTCCTAAAATAGTTTGTAATTTTCTTGAGAAAAGAACATGTGGCAAATAAAGGAACATAACTGATAAACCATGCAGTATTAAATAACATAAGGAATTCAGAGGCTGATCTAAAGCCAGAAAAAAAAAAAATGTTAAAGGAACTGTAAGGGATACTATATTGTCAGTATACTAAAATTGTATGAATCATTAAATCCAGTTAAATATCTTGTACGAACTCACATTACAGCCAACAATAGATCTGGATCTCAAGAGAAACACTCATTTATTTATTTATTTTTTTTTTGATTTTATGTGTATGAATATTATGCCTACATGTATGTAAATGCACCCATGTCATAAAGTGCCCTCAGAGGACAGAAGAGAGCATTGAATTCCCTGGAAATGGAGTTACAGACAGTTGTTAGCTACCATGTGGGTGCTGGGATTTGAATGAGTCTTCTGCGAGAGCAGACAGTGCTCTTAATCACTGAGTCATCTCTCCAGCCCCAAGAAACACTCATTTTTAAAGTATAGTATATAAAAAAATGAAAATGCACTGTTTCTATCAAGATGATATCTCTATCAATTACTGCCAAGCTGTTTACCTGCTTTGAGGAAGCCTAAATTTGGTGAGATGATTCAATGTTTTATTGAACTATTTATAAATGGAAAAATGTATCTAATCTGGGTACAGTGGCTCATATTTGCAATCCTTGCACTTGGGAGGCTGAGGCAGGTGGACTGCTGTGATTTAAAGGGTATCCTGGGCTTCTAGTGAGCCTGTATCTTAAAAAAAAAAGAAAGAAAGAAAAGGGAAAAACAAAATAATTTAAAGACTAGAGAGGTGGCTCAGTGGTTGAGAGCACTTGTAGCTCTTCCAGAGGACCTGAGTCTGCTTCCTAGCACCCACACTGGACAGTTTGCAACTGTCTTTAATTCCAGGGGAACCAATGCCCTCTTCTGTCCTCTGTGGGCACCCATACATATGTGGCATACACACACAGAGACATACACACATGCACATAAATAAATCTGAAACATTTAAATAAAAAAATAAATGTGTGTATGTATCTTGGATTACTTCCAAATAATAAGTGGCAAAAAGTACAAATGAAACAAACTCAACCAAGTTGATAATTATAAAAGTCAGATGATGGTTATCTGCAATTTATTGTGCTATTCTCTACATTTGGACATATTTTAACTTTTTCATAAGATTAATTTTTTCTTTATTAGTACTAGAGGTAAAGAAGCAGAGAGAACAGAAAAAGAAAAAATCATTTACTCTAAAATTATATGCAGAGAAAAATATAGAATATAGAACAATATACATATATTATATAGGAAACAAAAGAAATGCCAGGTTGAACTACATTCTTCTTGGCCTACATTTGTTTGGTAATGCCATGAACAATCAAAGTAATATAAGCAGCAGAAATAACATAGTTGACATTTCTGCTCTTCTTGTCAAACAGAAAAGAGGAATTCCCCACATACACTAAGATCCGATCCCAGCTATTTAAGGCTGAAAGAGCTTGAGCAAATTATTTAAGCTCCCTGAGTAGGACTCCTAGCCTATAAAATAGGGGTAATACCTGCCTCCTAAGGTTTTTGTGAGAATTAAACAAAACAAAATTTTGTAAATGATTAGTACAGTATTTGACACTGAGTAGTTAATGATACTTTTTTTTTTTTTTT